TTAGATTTTCTTCGCTTTCAAGGTGCTAATCTGAATGATATCCAAGTTCCAAAATAGGAAATTTTTGAAAATAGCTGTCTTTTTACCAAAAAAATATAGGAATAATGTTAACACTAACAATCCACTTATTATTATTATTGCTACCATTATCATTATCATTACTACTATTATTGTTATTATTATCACTATCATTATTATTATTATTGTTATTACTATTATCATTATTATTATTAATACTTTCTAAAAATTCTGGTAGAAGCATCTCACAGTCGTCTGGAAGTGGCAACGGATTAAGCAGCGTTGACGCATGTTGAGATACAAAGCCAGGCAGATCTAAACATGTCGATTTTTCTAGCGCCCTTTTCATTCCACTGTTTTCTTCGAGAAAAGAAGAGCGGTGGGTTGAAGGGACGGGGGGGGAGGAAAACACTAGCACAACTGCATTGATCCTAGACATTACACTGAAAATATTGAAAAATTACCTTCTCAGTGTGCCGAACGACTGCATCGAAAGTGACCTGACCTTCCACTTGTCCTTCCTTTCGACTTGCGGGCCTGATTTTTTGCGGAGGAACCCAACCACGATTAACCAGAATAATCATCCTAAACCAGAACCGTATAACAGTAGAAGCCCCGAGGCTCAGTGGCTTAAAATCCAGCGTGGATCAAAACAAAATGGAAAGACCAAAAGGATAATATGTTTATTACATATTTTTATTTTATTGTAATGGCTATTAGCTCGTTGCTTTGTCCGCTATAGTAGCTGACAAAGCACCGAGCTAATAACCATTAAGCCAAAATTCTGAAAAGCGAAGAAGCGAACGTTAGCATTACTGTCGACAGGCTAGACAGCAAATAACGTCATCTGTGTCAGACCAGTCACGAGTTGCCACGTGTATCGACGGCTCGGTAATGCGCTATTATGAAAACAAAAGCTGACAAATACATAGCAAGAACTCTAAGACTGCACGGGCTATCAGTGCCCCTTGTCAGTGATGTTACTAGGATACTCTCACACGTCGAGCGCAGCTGGTCAGCCCCTTCGATCTTGGAACAAAAATATATAAAGTACCAAATTAAACTGGAACTAGCCAGAAACTCCCCTTAGAGTGGAACTAGCCAGAAACTCCTCTCCTCAACCATAAACGGAAATCCGCTTTTACTATCAAAGAAAAAAGAATCCAATTTCTTATTTCTCCTGCGCCAAAAATATTCCTACCTCTTGCACTACATAGTTCGTTTTATTCTTGCCTTCTTTTCTACGTTCTTCATGTTACTTTCATGCTATAATCATGCGATAATCAGATTAGAAAAAGGCTCGGACTCTTTTATACGGCTATGAAATTTAGCTGCAACTACACAGTACGCTGACAGTAATGAAGTAGTAGCGAACTAGAATCTTCCGTACTTTGAAGGGTTGTAGTACTTGCAAGAAAGTTCCAAAAATCTCACAAAAATTGACAAATTACGCAGAAATTTCAGTCTGGCATCGTTAGCCAATCCTTGTATTTATTTCGACCATTTACAAAAATAATTCATTTATGTCAGGAAATGAAGAAGGCCACTAGTCTTAATCTTAAGCAACTCAAGGAAGCCGTCTGAAGTCCCGTTAATAACCGTATGCTAGCATTTTAAATTTCTCAAAGTGCTAGCATTTTAAATTTCTCAGCGAATCTACTTCTCGGCGACAGAAAAACATACAGAATTTTTTTTTCGGTTTTTTTTCCAAGTTCGAAGGGTTGCAGGTGAAAAAGTAAGTAATTCTGGATAAGAGCGCATAGTAGCGCTCGGCGTCTAACACCATCAGTGACATCGATATCCGCGCTGAAACTCCAAAGCAACAGCCCTTCAAAGGCCTCTACTGATCCCACATTTTATCAGTGAATCAAGTTTATCTCCAAGCTGGTAACGAAAGCATACCCTGATGGATGAAGCCTGAACGGTGTGATGACCTGGACACCCGGACTGCCAATGTTGACCGGTGGTCGCTTCTTCGGTTCGAGGTCTTTACCTTAAAATGTTCCCGAAATCAATTTTTACTTCCTACTGCTCTCAGCCTGCAAAGAATGCTTGGTAAAGTTTCTAATTCAGGACAAAGATGACTAATTCATCGTGGTCTGAGCAATAGGAATGTTCGAGATGAGCTAGTAATGCTCAACATATATCAAGGAAATTTCGAAACAGCTTAAAGGCTGCTAAGTTCTTCTGTTGAGGAGCCGTCAAGCTGGCAAAATCGTCAGACCACATCACAAAATGTTCCCCGACACACGACATTTGAGACCAATCCTTCTATTCTACTGTTTCACGAAATGCAAATAGCAACAGGATCGTCAGCAAGCTGATTATTAGATGAAGCAATTCTGGTCAAAGTAACTGGAAAATTGCCAATTAAATAATAGAGAATCAGGCCACAAAGTGCAGTTGTGGCCTATTCTAAGTATAAATAGTGCTGCCCAGCAGTGCAGCATTATCGATCTCTTTAAGTTAATATGGACAAATTCATTTTGAATTTTTCTTTAAATCTTTTCTTGAACCCCATGCCGGCATGCGTGACGCAGTGGGTAGGGGGGAGGAGGAGGGCCGTGCAGTAGGTCAAGGGTTAGACTTTGCCGCTGGGAAAAACAATCTCTTTACGATTCATTTCGATGGTAAATTAATACTGGCATACGCCAGGGAGTCAAACCAGTCATCAGTTTGCTCACAAGAAACCTCAGAGGAAGGAGCCATCGACAGACTTGCCATGGGTGGTTGCTGCTGGCATTTGCTACCACT